AGGATAGAGTTACTTACCTTCAAATATAAGAGACAGAAGAAGCCAGGGGACAAAAATGTCCCCTGGGAACCAGTGGAGACTTTTCTTAAAAAAAAGAAAAGTCAGAAATATGCTGGGAAATATTTTGGCAACAAACCCTTTGACACTTATTCGCAAAGCATTTGGAATTGTTAGGCCTGGACTAAAATGAAATAAATAGCTCTGAAATAAATAAGAAGAATTTCAATTTACTCAGATGATTGGATTCCTTGGGTGAACAATGTCTTGCTGCTGCTGCTGCTGCTGCTGAAAATCAAAATGGGCTTGATGAGGGAGCAGAAGGCTAGCTAAGGACAAAGTACAAGCTGACACCATGCAACCTCCCCCCTTTCTCCCACTCCTGGGTGGGATTTGTGTGACATTCCTCCAGGAAGCTCCCAACTCTCTTCTTGTTAATGCCTTACAAGAGGGAAAAACAACATTAACTTGACAATGGCAAAGGCCTCCAGTATCTTGTAGGTCCTCTTTAGCATATGAAAGCTCTTTGGAAAACCTCCCTTTTCCCTACCCCCAATTCCCAAGTATATAGTCAGCCCCCCTCACAACCCCAGGGCAGCAGCTCTTTTTGATCACGGTCCCGTCCCCGAGCTTTAATAAAACCACCATTTTGCACCAAAGACGTCTCAAGAATTCTTTCTTGGTTGTTGGCTCTGGACCTCACCCCACCAAACCTCACCTATATTCCAAAATTACCTCAGGCTCTGACACTGAACATGACTTTATCATAAAATGCTTGATTCAAGCAGAATGCTATAGACATTTCTTTGCCAAGTTCATGTAAATTCAGGAGGTCTGGCCTGTATGCAAAGACAGAGCAGTATGATAAGGCATTGCTTGTTATTTTTCACTCCATTTTTTAATGTGGTCTTCCATTCAGAGCAAGGACACTATGGTGGGGTAACACATCCATGTTTAACTGGACAGAGTTCAACTATTCATACTTTTGAAAAGAAGGGGAGAGAGAGAGAGGGAGAGAGAGACAGATTAACATTTTAAATAATACAGGTGACCCTATCTTCTCTCCCATTCATTGAGCCCACGTCCAGCAGTAAACATTAAAGAGGAGATGTTTCTGCAGGTATATTTATATGTATCCATCACTATGCAGGTCTGTGCACACAAAACAAGGCATACTGTATTTTATGTGTGATCTAAGAGATGTTTATGAATAATAGAGACTCCATGATTATCACTTAGGCCGGGACTTTAGAATCTAAGCTTCAAGCAAGGTGAGACTTCACTGTACTGTTTTAGAAGAGGGAGATATTTTCTTTTTTTCTAATAGGAAAAGAAAACTTGCTTTGAGCCATCCACACACCTTCAGGGGTCCCCCTTTAACCAGGGACTGTTGGCTGGGATTCAGAGCTCAGTGTTGGTCATGAGACAAAATTAGACAACTAAATGAGCATATTCATATGATTGATGCAATTTGCCATCAACTTGATGTAAAGCTGCAGGAAATGTAAGCCGGGTTATGAAACGAAGAGTATCCTTTTATGCAACTAACATTTCTAAGTACCTGCTGTCCACAAGGCAATGGGTTAGAAGCCATAAGGAAGTAAACCCTAATGTTTTTACAAATTGTGTAGTTTATAAAATCTTGTAAAAGAGAAAGATAAATACACACTGAATTAGAATACAGGGGAGGCTGTGAACGGTCCTATAATAAATGTGATCAGGTAACGTTGTGAACTGGAGTATAATTTTAAAATGCAATTACCTTTCAATTATTCACTAGAAGACTGGGCTTTGAAAGTTCTTTCTTGCAATAGTCTTGGCCTTTAATTGTTCTCATTAGGCTACCACTCAATTGTGTTTGTATTCTATGTGATAGCTACCACCTTTTGGCCTATTCCATAATAATTACCCCTTCCTCCTGGCTAACAGAACTAAAATTTGGTTTAGGGATTTGCCTCTCCCAACCTCCCCAAACCCTCACTTTTCCAATCTCCTAGGCTCCTGGGTGCTCATGTGGCCTAATTCTGCCCAATGAGAAACAAGCAGAAGTCTATGGGAGTTCTAGGAAGGTTTTGCTTTCTTTAAAAGAGACATATGTTGAGGGGCGCCTGGTTAGCTCAGTCGGTTAAGCCACTGCCTTTGGCTCAGGTCATGATCCCAGGGTCCTGGGATGGAGTCCAGCATCGGGCTCCTTGCTCAGCAGGGAGCCTGCTTCTCCCTCTGCCTGCCGCTCCCCCTGCTTGTGCTCTGTCTCTGACAAATAAATGAATAAAATCTTAAAAAAACAAAAAAAAGAGAGAGAGAGACTTATGTTGAAACCCCGATGTGACTACATTTGGAGATTAGGCTTTTAAGGAGGTAATTAAAGTTAAGTGAGATCATAAGGGTGGGGCCATAACCCATAGGACTGTGTTTTGTTTTGTTTTTAAGATTTTATTTATTTATTTGAGAGAGAGAAAGAGCACACAAGCAGGGGCAGAGGAAGATGGAGAAGCAGACTCCCCACTGAGCAGGGAGTCTGATGCGGGGCTCAATCCCAGGACCCCAGGATCATGACCTGAGCCAAGGACAGACACTCAATCAACTGAGTCACCCAGGTGCCCCGGGACTGGTGTCTTTATAAGTGGAGGAAGAGTCATGAGGAACGGCCATGTGAGGTCAGAGTGAGGAGATGGCCAGGAGGACCAAGAAGTGAAGTCTCACCAGAAACCAACCCTGCAGTTCCTTGATCTTGGACTTCCAGCCTTCAAAAGTGTGAGAACATAATTTCTGTTGTTTAAGCCCCCAGGCTGTGGTATTCTGTTATGGCAGGCCAAGCAGATGACATGGGCCCCAAGGGCACTGAAGTTCAGGATATGTATGAGATGAACTGTAGCCTCTGCCATCTCTCCCTGCTGGAGTTACCCACCTTGTCCACACCTCTATGTTCATCTACTTCATAAACTCTTGCTTTGATCATTTTATGGGTAGAGTCCCTGACCAAGTTGTTTGCCTGCAGTTTAGAAGAAAGGGGGTCTTCTCCCCAAGAAGTGGGTGGAAAGTTTTCAAGCAACTTTGATTTCCAAAGGGAGAAAGGGGGAAAGGAATTTTGAAGTTGGAACAGAAAAGGGCAGGCTCCTTTGTTTTTTCCCATTAATATTTATTTTGAGCACATATGATATGCCAGGCTGTGCTGAAGGTATAAGGGATACAGTGAATAAAACAGACCGGGCCTCTGCCCCTAGGAACATGTTGGGAAATTGTTCAGAGCACAGAAAATGTGGAGGGAGTAATGGGAAGTAAAGCTTGAAGAGTAGGATGGGAACAGATTATGGGGAGTCTTGAACCCTGTCTAGGAATTTGTTCTTTATCCAGTAGGTGAATGGGGAGCCCCTGAAGTTGACTGAACAGGAGAGTACCCTGGTCATAGCTGTGTTTTAGGAATATGAATCTGAAAGCTGTGTGTTGATTCAATTGAAATAGGAAGAGATTAGAGACTGGAGAGACAGTAAAGGGAAAAATACTAAAGCTCAGACAAGATGTAGTGAAAGCCTAAACCAAGGTAATATAAAAATTATACTATGTTTGCTAAGACCACCATACACTAATATCAACAGAAAACCTTAAGATATTTTCTCAGACTCATAGAAATATTACCATGTGTTAGCCTTTGAAAAGTTCCCTAAACACCGAACTCAATCTTCTTTTAATGGGCAACAAAGGAGAGACTGGCCAGGACTAACACTGACGTGAGCTGGGAAAGGGTGGCCACACTGCCCAAAGTACTTTAGAGCAATAAAACTCTCAATGTGTCAGGTTCAAAAGCCAAAAAATCTCCCATTGTTGTAATTAATTTCAGCAAATGATAAAGGAGAAGGGATTTAAGTTGGAAGACTGCAGGTCGAATCTCTATTCTGAGTCCCTCTCGCTGCAGACAGGGTGGTCAGGGGGCCACAGACGGATGGGCTGGACTCCGGCTCCTCCATCTTCCCTAAAGCAAAGAAAAACTACTCTCCTGGCTGGGCAGCCCCCTTCTTCCAGAGCTGACCATTCAGATTTTGGCGCAAACACCAATATTGACCCAACAGCTGCCATGAGCAGGCACTGCTCTTGGCTGTGGAAACATAAACTGAGCAAAATATAAGATCCTGCTTCTCATGGGACCTACCTGGCCAGGAACAGACACAGAACATATCAAAACATAAAATAAATATATTGGCTGGGCCATAAAGATATCAAATAAGGTGGACTGATAGAGCACCCCACCAACTAGATATGAAAACACTCCCAGGCCAGGATCATGCTGTATTCTTATGTATAACCTCCCTCTCCGGGGTCCTAGAATAGTCCTGACTGGTGTTCTATAAATGCATATTGAGCATTGCTAGCATTGCTCTAAACGAATGACCCAACAGCAACCAAAGGAGGACAGCAACAGCCCCAAGGATTGAAAAGAGCCCCTCATTTCGAACCAGGAAGTTGAGGAAATGCCAACTCTTTATATAACTAAGAAATCTCTAGGACATGTGGGGCTTTTTTTCCCCCTTAGGACACTTGCCACAGAATCATCCAGGATACTTATTAAAAATGCAGACTTCTGGGCCCCATCTCAAACCCACTGAATCAAAATAACTAGAGGAGAGGCCAGGAAGCTGCATATTAACAAGCTCCTAAGTAATGCTGATGCTACGTTACTGAGCTAAAAAAAAAAAGAAAGAAAAGAAAGAAAGAGAGAAAAAGTAAAATGCACAAGGGCCCCTTTTCATTGCAGTTGTAAATGTCTCCACAAACCATTCTTCAGAATGCTCTTATGTATGAACTTCCTTTGCAAAACCTCCAGAGCCCAGTCACAAGCTGATTTGTTTAGGGAAATGCACTGAAAGACAGAACCCGCGTGATGGGAGCCTTCCATCAACAGATCCATTCATTCAAAAACTCTGACATGTATAGACACTAGATGGCTTCAGTGGAAGTGCCTCCCTGTCTGAGGAGCTTAAGGAGAGACTTTCTGGAATATTCCCTACCTGTGAAGAGGGCATGGTAGTGGAGGCCCCTCTCCTTATCCTCATGGGAGCAGACATCAAATAAGTAGGCTTTAATGGGCCCATCAATGAAGTCAGCAGCAAAATCAAAGACAACTACACCTATCATGGTGATGGTTATGGCCCAAATCCGCTTCCTTCTTGGATCAGCAATCAAAGCTAAAAAGGAAATAAATATACATCATCTAAATCCCACTTTAGAATGATTTGAATTTTTATTTCCACCAAAATGTCCTGTCATTAAATTTCTCCCTTTGCTTTCATTTTGCTTTTCCAAATAAAAATGGCTTTGTTATTTTCTCAGGTTTTAAAAATTATACACGTGAATGCCAGAAAATGTAGATCTACAGAGACAAAAAGTAGATTGAAGGGTCGCTTAGGCCTGGTAGGGAGGAGAGAATGGTGGATGACTGCTAATGGTTACTAAGTTTCTTTTTGGGGTGATAAAATATGGTGGAATTAGATAGTGGTGATGGTTGCACTACCTTGGGATATGCTAAAAGGCACTGAGTTGTATGAATTTTATATCATATCTCATTTTAAAAAGTTGTTTAAAAAATTACACACGCTTATTGTAAACCATTCCAATAATGTAGAAAAGCTGGGGAAATGCTTCATCCCAGACCCCACCAATGGTCATCCTTCAGATACCCCTTTCTGTACGTACACACTAACAGAAAAAGCTGTATACCTGTGCCCTAAGGCAGTGCTTCTCAAACTTCAGCATCTTTAATCATCCCTTGGACAACTTGCTGAAACAGATTTACTGGGCTCTGTCTCCATAATTTTCCATGATTCTCCCATGACTCTCTCGGAGTTCTGAGGTGGGGTTGGGCATTTGTCTCTCTAACAGCCCCCAGGGACGATGATGCCCTGGGTCTGGGGACGACGCTTGGAGGAACACTAACTAATGGGATCAGGTTGGAACTGCTCATCTATAACCAACTCTCCTCATTTCTTTGCATTTCAATTAATGGAGAGCTGCTGCACAATTTTTAATAGCTGAATAATATTCACTCTGTGGACATGCCCAAATTCATTCACCCAATCTCCTATTAGAGAAAAAAGAATTTTTCCCTTGCTTTCAGTTTCACTTAAGAATAATGTGCAATATATGCACATTTTTTAAGATTACAGTGTAACAATAATTGAAAAATAAGCCTATGCTCCACTTTTTACTTCCAAAGTCCTTTAGTAGTCCCCCCTAGAGGCAACTATTCTTATCAGGGGTTTTTGTGATTATTTTGCAGAAATAACCTACATTTGTGTGTTGATGCCCTCTTTTAAATATATACAAATGATAGCTGATTATCCTGCCTCATTATCAACGATTCTGCTAGCCTGAGAGTTAATGGTCCAGAAATGGGTGCTATTTTTAAGTTCAACAATTCTTTTTTCAGTGAAACTTTTCATGTACTACCACCAGTTACTGATTAATTGGTGGCTGATTAATGTCAAGAAAAAGTGTTCACCATGAGGTTTGTTTTTGTCCAGAATTTGCAGTGCAAAAATGTCCCCTTGAGCTGACAGGCTGATGCCCTCCTCCCATTAAAAGATTCTACATAATTCTATGAACAGAATTAGCTCTTATTTAGACATATAGGTAATTTATTATAAGTATTCATGGAGTCATATGGTAAATGGTTAATTTGACAAAAATACTAACTAAAGCATAAGCTCAAAGAACACTGCAATTGATAAACATGTAAAAATATTTCATTTGATAAAAGAGATAAAAAATTATTCCTATTTTTAAATCCTCACAACAATAAAACAACAACAGCAATGCATCCTGATGTTTCTAAAAGTAAAGTCTCCCCAACCACGGAATTTGGGTCATTCTTAGATGGAAGTTCATTGTAATCTAGGAGAGATAATTGGTTCTAATCAATTTCTAAGAAAGTGTCACATAAAGAAATCTGCCTTCTCCTCCTATTGAGTTGCATAATGGGCCCCTTTCCCCTGCCTGCCCACCTGTGCAGTCCACTGACCTGATACAACGGCGTCCCCGTTGAGGTACAGAGCCATGCCCGAGAGCATCATGAGGCCCAGGGTGAGGATGTATGGTCTCCGCCGGCCCCACCTGGCCTGGCAGTGGTCGCTGGCTAATCCCACCACAGGCTGCAGCAGGAATCCCAGGACAGGGCTGAGGAGCCACACCGTGCTGTACAGACTCTTGGGCAGCCCCACGCTGAGCAGCACCGGGGTCACGTAGGCGGCCTCCACCGCATAGCAAAACTCCCGGCCAAGCATGGCCATGCTGTGCATGATGAGATTGCTCGTGGGTCTTTTGGGTGGCTCCACAGGGTCAAAGGGGTCATCCGCAGCTAGGGACTTATAGGTATGAATGCCAAGTTGCCCAATGTTGCCGCCCATGGCCACAGGGGTGAGGAACCTGCCTGCAAGCTCACCAACTTCTGTGTGGCCCTCAGGCTTCTGGCCCAAGCTGGATTTGACAAGAAGCCCGGCTGAGTGGCCAACAGAGATGGTGGAGCTGGGGGAGGGGTTCAAATTCTTTCATGCCTCTAAGATCACAAGTTATGATGAGAGGGAAGGGGGTGGGGTCAGGCAAGCATGAAGGAGATTAGCTGCTGTGAGCCCTCTGGCTCCTCAGAATGTTTGTCTAAGGGAATGTTTCTTTGTACTGTCCTCTTCTCCCGCTCCGTCTCTGTCACACACACACACATTGACACTCTATTACATACAATCACATACACAGCTTTGAGATGGTGGAGCTGTATGACGCAGGTATTAAGTCAAAATATGAAGGCATCGATATCTCCCTCTAAACATTTTCTAGATATAAATATTCTGTTTTCCTGAACGCAAGTTTCTACACACGCACCTCAAGAGTCAATTAGACTTAAAGCCGTGGGAGGTTGCATCCTTTCTCTAATCTCTAGCTGTCTCATAGAGCTGTGATATTTCCCTTCGTTGCACTTAACACACTTTATAATTGGACAGTTCTGTGTTTATTCCTTTTTTTTAAAGATTTTATTTATTTGACTGAGAGAGACAGCGAGAGAGGGAACACAAGCAGGGCGAGTGGGAGAGGGAGAAGCAGGCTCCCCGCAGAGCAGGGAGCCCATGCGGGGCTCGATCCCAGGACCCTGGGGATCATGACCTGAGCTGAAGGCAGGCACTTAACGACTGAGCCACCCAGGCGCCCCAGTTCTGTGTTTATTCTATTTCTCCTGTTAGTCGTTGATCCCTTTAAGAGCAGTGATCAGGTTTATTTCCGTCTTTATGCTATCCCTGGCATCTCACATGATCCCTGACACCTAGTAGGTCCTCAATAAATATTTGCTAAAGGAATTATTGAGTGAATAAAGTGTATACACTACATTTTGTAGTATCAATCAACTGCCTGTTTGCTCAGGTCCATTCCGGGCTCCTCCTCACATGTTCTATATCATAAGAGACTACATTTCCCAGGTTCCCTTGCTCTCTGGCTTCTAGCTAGGTTGGGCCGCTGGAAGGCATTGATGGGATGATTGGGAGCAGGAGGAAAATCATGTTATTTTCCTCCTTTTCTTTCTCCTTCCTGAGCTGTCCATGGCAGTGTCTGCATCTCCACAGTGGGTCCAGCTTCCACCAGGCAACCTTAAATTCTGGATCCTGCTAACACTGCCTTTCCCATCATCCCCTGCAGCCACAGGAGTGGCCCTGGCTTCCCTGTTGTGGCTCATATCTGAATTGCCTGCCTCACTGTCCCCTGGGCTTCTCAGCTCTTTTATCACCAGTGAAATTCTCTATATTACATTTCCTGACTGACTGATTGATTGATTGATATTTCACCCATCCCCTCACCTGCCTCCCCTCTGGCAACCACCAGTTTGTTCTCTGTATTTAAGAGTCCGTTTTTTTGTCTCCTTTTTTCTTTCCTTTATTTCTTAAATTCCACATATGAGTGAAACCATGGCATTTGTCTTTCTCTGACTTTTTCACTTAGCATTATACCCTTTAGGTCCATCCACGTGGTCATAAATGGTAAGAGTTCATCTTTTTTTATGAGTAATAGTCCATTGTATATATACACCAAATCTTCTCATCCATTCATTATCAGTGGACAGTTGGGTTGCTGCCTTACCTTGGCTATTATAAATTTTGCTGCAAGAAACATAGGGATGCGTGTATCTTTTCAAATTAGTGTTTTTTGTTTTCTTTGGGCAAATACCCAGTAGTGGAATTATTGGATCATAAGGTAATTTTATTTTTAATTTTTGGAGGAACCTCCATACTGTTTTCCCCAGTGGCTGCACCAGCTTGTATTCCCACCAACAGTGCGGGAGGATTCCTTTTTCTCCACATACTTGCCAACACTTGTTTTTTCTTCTGTTTTTTGATTTTAGTCATTCTGACAGCCATAAGGTGATTATCTCATTGTGGTTTTGATTTGTATTGCCCTGATGATTAGTAATGTTAAGGATCTTTTCATCTGTCTGTTGGCCATCTGTATGTCTTCTTTGGAAAAATGTCTATTCAGGTCCTCTGCCCATTTTTAATAGGATTATTTGTTTTTTTGGTGTTGAGTTGTATAAGTTCTTTACTTATTTTGGATATTAACCCCTTATCAGATATATCATTTGCAAATATCTTCTCCCATTCCATTGGTTGTCCTTTTGTTCTGTTGATGGTTTCCTTTGCTGTTGAAAAGCTTTTTATTTTGGTGTAGTTCTACTGGTTTAATTTTGCTTTTATTTTCCTTGCCAGAGGAGACATATCTAGAAAAATGTTTCTACAGCCAATGTCAAAGAAATTACTACCCATGTTTTCTCCTAGGAATTTTATGGTTTCAGCTTTCCCCACATAGGTCTTTAATCTATTTTGAGTTTATTTTTGTTTATGGTGTGTAAGAATAAATTTCCTCTGTTTTAAAGACTCTGCGTGGGTCATATTTTCTTTGTTGGACCCTGAGTTCCAGTGAAGAGTCTCTGGGGCAAGAGGAACACAATCTTATGGGAAGGGCCCTAAAAATGGTTGAAGAGCAAGACTCAGAGTCAGAATATTAAAATTTAAATTCTGGTTCTGCTTCTTCTTAGCAGTACCTTCCTGGGCAAATCACTCAAACTGGTGGTTCCCAAACTGTGTGCTAAGATGCCCCAGGACACCACACTGAACTCAAAGGGGTGCCTCAGGATATTTAAAATTTCGAAGATAGTAAACAGAGTGAAACTCAATATCTGTCAGACACCACATGAACTACCAGTGAGGTAGCTCACAATTTCAACATATGATTGCACTCTAATCCTTTCAATGAAGTCAATAGTATATGAAAACAAATGTGGAACAGAAATGGGGGTAGTGGTGTCCAATCCAATTTTGAGGCATGAGAAGCTGCACAGTGTCCAACACATGTATGACCCACAAGTGTGTTAAAAATGAAATAAAAATAAAAATGCTTTCTCTCAATTTATGTGTATTATATTTTTTCAAACAGTGAATTAGCTGTTGGGGCATAAATACTTAAGTTGTTGGGACCTAATTATTTATAAATGGAATGGCTAGATATTTCTTTTGGCCTAGGGGAACCATGGAAAAATTATTCAGACACAAAGGGAGATGTGAACGAAGGTTTAAAACCATCTGAGCCTTGCATTCTCATCTGTACAATGAAGAAACCTGCCCCACCTACCCCTGTGATTGTTGAAGAGAGACTGGGATACTGTATGTAATGGATGTTTTTTGCTGCCTACCCAACATCCATTCTCCACTCTTTCCATCCTGATAGGACCTGGATTAGATTCCAGAATCCACCCCTTCCTCACACACCCATGTGCTTCCAGCTAGCTGAGTCCAGGGGAGCTCCAGGAGCAGGCTGGTTTTATCTAAGGACAACCCTACCTTCTCTGATAAAGACTGGCGTAGGACTGGCCTATGACTTAACTCCATCAAAAGAGACACAAGACAAGATTTGCTGATGGTTCCCGAGACCATCTCTTCTTCTGGATGTCCCTGTGTGTGGATATGAGATCTAGAACTTGTTACCAGGCTGAGGATAAAGTGAACATATGGAGGATGGCAACTTGACAAGCCACAAGAATGCAGGGAACTAGGGTCTGGGTGACTGGATTCAGGCAACACTAAAATCCTTCTGGATTCAAGGTATGTGAGCCAAAACATTTCATATTTTGGATATTGTTACTGCCAGTTGAAGGCATCCTGATGTGACATAGGTAAAAGTATTTTGCAAATTATAAAGTACAAGGTAATTGTGACTGAAGCCAAGAATGTGCTTGGAGGAATAATGTGAATACAAAGAGGCCTGGATGCAGCCGGTCATCTTGTTCCATGTGATTTATTTATCACCATACAGTTGTGATAGCAAGATAGTTGGTAGCATCTCATCACTTCCTACATTGTAGGATAAAGAGAAAGTGCAAATCAGTGTATATCAAACTATACATTCAAGAATAAAATTCCTATTTACTCAAGAATATAATTTGTCGGGCGCCTGGGTGGCTCAGTCGTTAAGCGTCTGCCTTCAGCTCAGGTCATGATCCCAGGGTCCTGGGATTGAGTCCCACATTGGGCTCCCTGCTCAGCGGGAAGCCTGCTTCTCCCTCTCCCACTCCCCCTGCTTGTGTTCCCTCTCTTGCTGTCTCTCTCTCTCTGTTGAAAAATAAATAAAATCTTTAAAAAAAAAAAAAAAAAAATATAATTTGTCTTTCATTAGAATTTGCCATCTTCAATTTCCTCCTTCTCCTCCACCCTCCTGATAGCCTCCTATGTTCTTTTCACCTGCCCCCTTGCCTATTCCTAAGTCTACAGTTTGTCAAAAGATAACAAAAGAAGAAGTGTAGCATTTTCTGCACAAGGTCTTAGACTCTTCAGAAGGAAAGTATGGGTCACTAACAAAAGCTATTATTAACCTTATTTACATACCTGTATTCCTTAAAAAGTTTATACCCTACAAAAACCAATTTTTCATTCAATATTTGATATGAAGAAAATTAATCACAGAAATCAGTATTTTGAGCTAGCCCGTCTGTTTATTTACAGATTTTTGCCAACTGGCTCTTATCCTTTCCCTCATCAACCCCTCAACAGTTATTTTTTGAGTACCTATTATGACAGTAACAAAGGGAAAAAGACTTGGTTCATATCCATTAGGACGGTGCCACTCAAAGTGTGGGCTTTGAACCAGCAGCATGATAATCACCTGGAAGCTTGGCAAAAATGCAAATTCATGGGTCTGGCCCTAGCCATACTGCATGAGAATCTCTAGGGGTGGGCCTAGGAATCTGTATTTTAACAGTATCTCCAGATGATTCTTCTGTGTGCTAGAGCAACTACTCTAGGAGCTTATGACCTAGTGAAGAGTTCTGTAAACTACATTAAAAGCAATGACTATCCTTGGAGATATGTACGAAGTACAATGGAAACATAGGAAGGGCCCCTTAGAACTAAAAATTACTGAGCACTTAGGATGTTCCAGGCACATGATAGGCCTTGTCTTAGACACCAGAGTGATTGAGTGATAATTTGAACGCAAGACCTTTCTGACTCCAAATTTCACAATCACTGTATAAAACTGCCCTAGGGCTGAAAGTTTCACAAAGAAGGCTGTGTTTGAGCCAAGTCTTAATTTGCTAAATCAACAACCTGGAGCAAAAGGGACTAGGAGTATTGTTAGTCCTGCTAAATGTTACATAATATAGAAAGGAATGGAAGCCAGAGAGACCATCACATAATTAGGAACTTAAGGCAGTCCAATGTAAAGTGCTGGGGAGCAGCGAGTGCAGATGGGACTAGACAGCTAGGGAGAAGTCTTGTTATAAATAAAGGGTTGAGGGGATTCGGAGAAAGGGGAACCCTCCTACACTGTTGGTGGGAATGCAAGCTGGTGCAACCACTCTGGAAAACAGTATGGAGGTCCTCAAACAGTTGAAAATAGAGCTACCTTACGATCCAGCAATTGCACTACTGGGTATTTACCACAAAGATACAAATGTAGGGATCCGAAGGGGTACATGCACCCCAATGTTTATAGCAGCAATGTCCACAATAGCCAAACTGTGGAAAGAGCCAAGATGTCCATCGACAGATGAACGGATAAAGAAGATGTGGTATATATACACAATGGAATATTATGCAGCCATCAAAAGGAATGAGATCTTGCCATTTGCAACGATGTGGATGGAACTGGAGGGTGTTATGCTGACTGAAATAAGTCAATCAGAGAAAGACATGTATCATATGACCTCACTGATAGGAGGAATTCTTAATCTCAGGAAACAAACTGAGGGTTGCTGGAGTGGTGGGGGTGTGGGAGGGATGGGGCAGCTGGGTGATAGACATTGGGGAGGGTATGTGCTATGGTGAGCGCTGTAAATTGTGCAAGACTGTTGAATCACAGATCTGTACCTCTGAAACAAATAATGCAATATATGTTAAGAAAAAAAAAAAGAAGATAGCAGGAGGGGAAGAATGAAGGGGAGTAAATCGGAGGGGGAGATGAACCATGAGAGATGATGGACTCTGAAAAACAAACTGAGGGTTCTAGAGGGGAGGGTGGTGGGGGGATGGGTTAGCCTGGTGATGGGTATTAAGGAGGGCACGTTCTGCGTGGAGCACTGGGTGTTATGCACAAACAATGAATCATGGAACACTACATCAAAAACTAATGATGTAATGCATGGTGATTAACATAACAATAAAAAATTTTTAAAAAGGCAATAAATGCTTTTTATAATGATTAATCTTTTGGGGGTTCTTTTTTATTTCAATTTCATGGAGGTATGTGTCTCATGTGAATTAAGTATAGTTTTCAGAATATTTTTGCTGATTATCTAGTCACAATTTTTTACCATGGCTGACATTGATCAAAATAAAGATGATCATTGTATTACTTGAAAAATAAATAAATAAATAAATAAATAAATAAATAAATAAATAAATAAATAAATAAAGGGTTGATATGCCATATAAATGGATTTATATTTTGTTATATAGGAAAAAGAGAGGACCACTGAGAAATTTTACAGGACTGAAAGACCAGTTTGGTATGATAAAGATTACCAGTAGAGTAACATGATACAAAAAAAAATGAAGGCAATAATACTGGAGGTCAAAAGTCAGGTAGGCAAGCTGAGCAGTAGGCCGGGGCAGAGATAATAGGGGCCCGAATGAAGGCACAAAGGGTGTTGAGCAGAGGGCACTGGTACGGAGCTATGAAGATGGAACTGACAGCACTTCACTATTGAGATTCACTTCTTTAATAAATATTTACAAAGTTTCCACTATGGGCCAGGTGCTGTTCTTGGAACTGGGGATTTAGCAGTGAATAAAACCCACAAAGTCCTTCATAAAGCTTTCATTCTAGTGTGCCTTGGTTAAGAGGCAGTGGGTTAAGAGGGCTGGGGCTATTCAGTATAATGTCAGTAATGATACATGATGTGAAGGAAAACAAAATGGGTGAGGGGAGAGTGAGTGATGAAGTGGCTGCCATTCTAGGAAGGGGTCAGGAAAGGGTGCTCCATAAGGTGACATTTGGGCAGTGGTCTGAATGAAGTGAAGGATAAGCCACGGATCTACTGGGGGCAGAGGTGGACATGATGGGAATGGAGGCTGGAGACTGGTAAGTGGAGGAAGAGTCTAGAAGGACTTCCAAAAAGATGGCAATTTACTGAGAAAGAGACATGGGTGAGCGATGCTAAGAGGCAGCCACACAGAGAAGCGGGGCTCTCAGTATGGTGGTCTAGATGGAGACTGGGGATTATTTGAAGAAAATATCAAGAACATTTTCTAAAATTCCAATTCAAAGATACTGGCTGAATGATTTTATCACATAAAAAGGATCAGACTTTTTTTTTTTTTAAAGATTTTATTTATTTATTTGACTGAGAAGGACAGCAAGAGAGGGAACACAAACAGGGAGAGTGGGAGAGGGAGAAGCAGGCTTCCCGCTGAGCAGGGAGCTTGATGCGGGGCCTTGATCCCAGGACCCTGAGATCATGACCTGAACCAAAGGCAAATGCTTAACTGACTAAGCCACCCAGGCGCCCTATTAACATTTAATATTAAAAATATAATCTATCAAATAAATCGAAAGGCAGAAAAACTGTCACAATTTAATATTGGTAAACTAAAAACATTCCTAAATCAAAAGCCATGATGTTAACCATTTTCAGAATTCTATCATTACTGTGTAATCAGTCTTGTTTCTTGATTGGACTAGCTGGTCCACTGTGATACTTTTCCTTCATGTTTCCATACTTAGAATTTTACGTATTCTTCTGTACTGAACATGCAATGTTCAAATTCATTTGAGCTAGGAGGCCTGGGACTTAGAGATTAGCTCTTGACTTATTACTTTCAATAATTTTATCTGAGGTAAGCTGATTGATCTCTACCTGGCTGAACCCAAATTCTCTAAGTATCTCTTCAGTATGTTCTCCTACAAAAGGACCCCTTTTGGAAGAAGGGATAGCTGGCGTGTCCGACAGCAGAGGTGCAGGGCGGGGCCTCACACCATGCTCCTTTTCAGTGATGAATGAGCCCCGTTCTTTGTTATGATCATGGTGGGCAGCCTCTTCAAATGTCAGAACTGGAGTCACACACGCATCTGTGCCATCGAAGATCTGACACCACTCTGCCTTTGTCTTCTTTGCAAATACATCTGCAAATCTCTTCTTCATTTCTGGCCAATCACCCATGCTCATCTGATGAGGAAGCTCATCAGACTTCAGCCCAAGTCCTGAGATAAAAACACAATTTCTTTTTTTTTTTTAAAGATTTTATTTAGCTGACAGAGAGAGACACAGCGAGAGAGGGAACACAAGCAGGGGGAGTGGGAGAGGGAGAAGCAGGCCTCCCGTTGAGCGGGTAGCCTGATGCGGGGCTCCATCCCAGCACCCTGGGATCATGACCTGAGCCGAAGGCAGACGTGCTTAACGACTGAGCCACCCAGGAGCCCCACAATTTCTTAAATTTTTAAGCTTTGGGTGGAGTGATTATAATCAATGAAAATGCATTTTGACCTCACCATACCGTCCCAAACAGGATGTTCTGTAAAATTTCTCAACTGGGTCAACAGAGGAAATTCAAACTCAACTTGAAGTTGGAGCCAATGGCTAGGGGTAAGCGGGTAGCAGGACTCCAAACAGACTTCCTGCTGGCAAGATTTTATTACTTATATTTCATCGAAAGTAGTCTATTTGTAAAGGTCTAGTTCCAGAAATTGATTTTTTCCTAGAGTAAGTTTTCAAAAATAAATTTCCTCATGATGCTATTATCTGTCATACTGAATTCAAATAACCCCACATTTTATATAGTGTACCCAAACCCTACAAAATATAAAATTTAAACAACTTGACACACAGTTATCCCATTTTTTAAGAAAACTAAAGGTAAATGATTAAATTCAAAATTGCAATTTTATATATAATATTCACCTCTCTTTATTTTGGTCAAATAAAAGAGCTCTGGTAGGACAGCTGTTTGACTCATTACCCTCTTAGAACACTGCTGTGAACTAGAAACAAAGGATTTATAAGATAACCAAAGACACACGCAACAAATTATTCCTACAGCAAACATGACAGAAAGTCATCACCCAGCCAAATCATGAGTGGGGCACACAAGACTTTTGTGTCAAGCATGAAGGAGACCTTGAAGGGCCCATCAACAAACGGTGCAGAAAAGATGAAAGCATCCAGCTGGGGATTTAACAGAAACGATGGCTTCTTGGGCCTCTGTGCCTCCTTTATAGACTAAAGCTATAAAGCATCTGCACCCCTGCAGATGAACTGAACTCCAGTGCTGACTGAATTATACCCAAAAGGCCACTTTACTAGGGTTTGGTGTAAATGTCATTTTTACTCCCTCATGGAAGAGGGTTTTTAAATGTAGATGGTGAGAGTGGAATAATAATGAAAGGCCCTTCTTCTTATACATGTTATTTTGCATAAGTTTAGTCAAGTTAATCTAATAATTATCACTTTTATCATCCTTTCCTTCCCTATCATGTAGAAGAACAATGACTAATTGTAAACTGCTCTGAAGAGGAAAATCCCTCAAGAGGTAAGAAGACATGAATACTGAAAGCCATTCTTAGGGTTCCGAGGTATATAAGGAAATAAGGAGAACTCATATAGTTCTGGACAGTCGTGAAAAGACAACTGTGGGATATACAAATAAATTTTTCTCTGTAGCCACTTGTCCCATTCAAATACCAGGAAAAACATGGAGCCATAACTTCAGGTTTATCACTATAATCTAACCAAAAAAATGTTTCTAAGGATGTCTTTTACTTAGCTTTCTCTTTCCTGATTGCCCCAAACTCTGTGATTAAAAAACAAATAAAGGGCGCCTGGGTGGCTCAGATGGTTAAGCGTCTGCCTTCGGCTCAGGTCATGATCCCAGGGTCCTGGGATCGAGTCCCGCATCGGCTCCCTGCTCCTTGGGAGCCTGCTTCTCCCTCTGCTTCTCTCTCTCTCTCTCTCTGTCTGTCATGAATAAATAAATAAAATCTTTAAAAAATAAATAAATAAATAAATAAATAAAAATAAAAAACAAATAAAATGACCAGTTAGCCAAAAATAGTGATATAGATCATAGCTACTACTAGAAACATATTTGCATGTTTTTAATTTTTATTTTTTATTTTTTTTAAAGGATTTTATTTGTTTATTTGAGAGAGAAAGACAGAGGGCATGAGAGAGAGCGAACAGGAGCAGGGGGGAAGGGCAGAGGGAGAGAGAGAAGCAGGCACCCCCTTGAGCAGGGAGCCCAGCTCGGGGCTTGATCACAGGACCCTGAGATCATGACCTGAGCGGAAGGCAGACGCTTAACCAATGGAACCACTGAGGTGCCCCTGCATTCTTTTTTAATCAGAATGTGATCAGAATCCTAACACTAAATAAAACTGGATCCAATATGTTCTCTCTGTAACAGACATTATATTTAAGATCAATGGTCTCACAAGTTATAGTTGTATACTGGAAAAATACTAGAAATCAAAGGACCCCAGCTCCTACCCCTAATTCTGACACTCCAGCTCTTCAACTGTCTTCTCATCCTTTCTCAGCCCACAGTTTCCCATCCTGCCCAGGACCCTGATCAAGGCCACAGGATTAGCCACCAAAGGTTTAGGATAGGCTGTTTCCTGTGCTCTTGACATTCCTGTATGGAACTCTAAAACCACTCCCCCACATAAATACAACTGTAGATGGTAGCTAGTTTTTATAGCATAACCAATATTAAATTTCTGGTATTTTAAATCAAACATTTCAAGGACTGGTCTGTAGACTCAGACACTATTTAAAACTTGGGAAAGTATGTTTTAATTTCCAAAAAGCTACCTTATATATACGTGTACACATATACATACACACAGGTGATCATACAAAATACTTATTATTTTAAGTATGTGTCATAAACTTTACTGCTCTGTGACACCATATCTGGCAAATATTAAGCAGTCAAAAATTCATGTTGTAAGCATGCAATGTTCTATGTACAAAGATTAATGTTTATTAATAAATAATGTTTTAGTGGAGGGACACCATACAATATCATATGGCTGCTATATATATCATGAGGCAGATTTTTTGGATTGACAAGAAAGGACATCTTTAGTATACTGTTGAACAAAAATGATAGCTATTAACTACAAATTTACATGATTATATACTGTATATAAATATAATTTATAAATAAATAAAACAATTGTGTTGATATGTACACAGAAAAAGTTCATGAAAGCCACATCCCAAACTTTCCCAGAGTGGAAGGACAGGAAGAATTTTTACTTCTTACTTTACAAATTCTGTTTTATACTTTTTTCTAAAACACACATTATTTTGAATTATTTTTCATTTTTTAAAAAGTTGGGGGCACCTGGGTGGCTCAGTCGTTAAGCGTCTGCCTTTGGCTCAGGTCATGGTCCCAGGGTCCAGGGATCGAGCCCCATATCGGGCTCCCTGCTCAGCAGGAGTCTGCTTCTCCCTCTCCCACTCCCTCTGCTTGTGTTCCTTCTCTGGCTGTGTCTCCCTCTGTCAAATAAATAAATAAAATCTTTAAAAAAAAAATTGTCATAGCGTAACACTTACAGTAATTCTGTTTTAAGTTTCTGAGTAACTGCCATACAGCTTTCTAGAGCGGCTAAATAATTTTACATTCCCACCAGTAACACACAGGCCTGCAGTTTCTCCCACAACCCTGGCAACCCTTGTTGTTGTCCGCTTTCCTTTTAATAATATTTTGAAGTTTTAAACTACTTTAAAAAAATTCTCTAGTGCTTACTGATTATACTACAAGAGTCTTGTTATACCAAAATGTCATGAAATTCTGTGTTTTCAGATTTCTTTGCCCCAGAAAGCAGCAGAGTCCTACTACAGTAGAATCTGTACCTTGCAAGAACCTTGTGTATTTATGTTCAGACACTGAAGAGTTCAATGAAGTATGGTCTCAAGATCTCAAATATAAGGTAAAATAAATGAGGTACATAACTAATACTACCTAAAAAAATCACTATGGATATGGCCGTTGGTCCAGTTGGGACCTGAGAGAGAAGTAATGTACATGTGATTAGTAAAAGTACTATTTTGTAAATAAATACTGTAAAAGAAAGAAAATGCTGAGGCATTTTGGCATGGACTGTGTAGATTAGCCAAAGCTGATTTAACATGCTAAGTCAGCCTGAACCACAAACCACCTATCAGCTAAGGATCCCTAGTGAACTTTGAAGGGAGAGAGGAGGTTAAGGATATCATAAAAGGCTGTGGATGCAAAGAGAGGAGGCTACAAAAAAAATCAGGGTGGTTACAGAGTTTAGACTTAGAGAAAATCTAGAAGGTGGTCAGAAGTTGAAGGGCTGGAACAATTAGCCTGCTAGAAAAATATCGCATTTCATTTTCAGCATTTCCAGAAAAACTCATTCATTGTGGTGGAGTGTGGATGTTAGAAATGATCATGCCAAAAACGTATGTTTTAAGATAACAACAAGATACACCAAGGAGGGAAGTTAACTTCTGGAATGGCAGAGCCAGAACCTTCAAAAACCCACTCTTGCATAAAAGCAACAAGAACCCTGACACAAATGGTCAGAATGAACCTTTTCATAACTCTGGAAATTAACCAAAAGTTCACAATAATCCAAAAAGCATTTATTCAGGAAAAACAACTACATCCCAATAAGATCGGTGAGACTTGCGGTATTATAATTTGCACTAATTTCATCCCTCTCTTCCCAGCTCTGTGGTAGCCGTCAAAATCAACGGGCTCCCAACCACAGTGCTGTAATAACTAACAGGATAACTGCCATTGTAGGAAGCAAATGAGTTGAGAGCTTCCCCAAAATCCCATTCCCAGAGAACTGCCATTTGTCTAGCAGCTCCCTGAAAGGCTCCATTCTCAGGGCTTGTCTTCATTTGATCTGACTTAGAGCTCACAATGCCCTATTCCTGGAACGTTTTTGACATATGTCAAAAAAATCAGTGGCAACTATTTACTATCAGAGCTATCTGAGGTGGCATTCCCTGTTGGGACTAAAAGGAAGCTGACAAGTAAACTTAAAGAAAAGTGGGGAATAGGATTTTCATGGGGGGCTTTGAAATGCTCTAACATATTCCTGAGAATTTAGAAGGCACATATGTAGGGCTGTGAGTATGCCCAGGAAAGATCTGAGAAGGTCCTAATCTTTCACCTCTGGCTGACCCCGAGTCCCCCTCTGCACAAGCACGAAGTGAAGGCACAGAGCACCTCAGAAAAAGATGGGAAATTAATTGGTTCAAAGCATTTAAGGACATCTCTATCCAATCACGACCTGATCGCCAAGCTAACGGAACAGACTTCAGTGGCTGAACATACCAAAGAATACAGATTTAGCCCAGGAAAGTCATTAAATAAACAAATAGCAGGGCGCCTGGGTGGCTCAGTTGGTTAAGTGACTGCCTTCGGCTCGGGTCATGATCCTGGAGTCCCGGGATCGAGTCCCGCATCGGGCTCCCCGCTCAGTAGGGAGTCTGCTTCTCCCTCTGACCCTCTTCCCTCTCGTGCTCTCTCTCGAATAAATAAAATCTTAAAAAAAAAAATAAATAAAATAAATAAATAAACAAATAGCAGAAACAACAAACCCAGGACTAAGGAGAGAGGAAAGGAAGGTGAGACCTGATCTCCAGAGTTGCCACATTACAGGATTTAAAATATCAAGTGGCACGCAAAGAAGAAGGAAAATATGACTCACACGTAAGACAAAAAGCAATGAACAGAAACTGCCCCTGAAAAAGCCAAATATTGGACTTACTGGAAAAGACTTTAAATCAGCTAGCTACTTAAAATATGTTCAAAGCACTGAAGGAAACCATGTCTGAAAAATTAAAAGAAGGTTTGAGAATGATGTCTAATCAAAGAGAATATCAATAAAGAGACAGAAATTATTGGAAAAGGAACCAAATAGAAATTCTGGAATTAGGGACGCCTGGGTGGCTCAGTTGGCTAAGCATCTGCCTTCGGCTCAGGTCATGATCCCAGGGTCCAGGGATCGAGTCCCACATCGGGCTCCCTGCTGGGGGGCGGGGGTCTGCTTCTCCCTCTACCCATCCCCGCTGCTCGTGATCTCTCTCTCTCTCTGACAAATAAATAAAATCTTAAAAAAAAAAAAGAAATTCTGGAATTGAAAACTTCATTAAAGGGACACAACAATAGACATGAACTAGCAGGAGAAAGAATCAGGGAACTCAAAGAAAAGTAAACTGCTTAGCCAGTCTGAGCAACAGAAAGAAAAGAGAGAAGAAAAATGAACAGAACCTCAGAGACCTGTAGGACACCAGCAAGAACAGCAACATATGGAGTAACTGGAGCTTCTTCCACACATGCCTCTACCCTTGTTTCCTGGACTTTCCTCACAGCCTGGCCCCCAAATGCCAGTCTTCACTCCTGCCTCAAAGGAAGAAACCGAGACTGCCACCTGCCCCCAAGCCAGAGGGAGAGGGAGACATCTCAGCCCTTGCTGAAGGGAGAAAAACAACCGCAAGCCATCAAACATGTTGATGAAATACAAGGTGAAATAGACTTAACGGACATGCCAGTGAGATTCTGAAAGTAGAACAGGAACAGGAACATAAAAAACTCTGCCATTTCTTCAGGAGAGGGCAGAATTGACCGCCCAAACCCCAAATTGTGGGGTAAGAACATTTGTCAACCATCCACAAGTGTCTGCACTGCTTGGGGAGGAGGATGAAGAGGTGTTACGTTATTTGACAAGAGTTGAAGTGGCAGAATTTGAAGATATTAAATCGGGTTACAGAACAGAATATTATTTTGATGAAAATCCTTACTTTGAAAATAAAGTTCTCTTCCAAGACTTTCATCTGAATGAGAGTAGTGATCCACCTTCAAAATCCACTGAGATCAAATGGAAATCTGGAAGGGATTTGATGAAACGTTCAAGTCAAACACAGAATACAGCCAGCAGGAAGAGGCAGCATGGGGAGCCAGAGAGCTTCTTCACCTGGTTTACTGACCATTCTGATGCTGGTGCAGATGAGTTAGGAGAGGTCACCACAGATGACATTGGGCCAAATCCATTACAGTATTACTTGGTTCCTAATACAGATGAGGAAGAAAGGGAAGGAGAAGATGACGATGACAACAAAGAAGAAGGTATGGAAGATACTGGTGAAGAAGATGAAGGTGATGATGAGGGGCAGAAGGAGAGGAGGATGAAGCAGAAGATGACTAATGGAACACCAATAGATTCTAACCTTCCTTTTTTAATTCTCGCTAGTCCCTGGGAGCAAGCTGCAGTCTTTTTTTTACCCCCCTGCTCTTGTGCTCATTTGCCCTGTTTTTTCAAGTCTCTTTTCTTTCCCTTTATACCAAGGTTCTCAACTTATTTTGGGGGGAAATACCTTGAACAAAATACTTTGGGAAAAGAATGTCTACCCCTTTCCGTTCCAAATTTATTTTTATTCCTTCTTGTCTCAACAAAAACTTGATGGAATCAACACCACTGTGTTCTGTGGGAAAAAAAAACCCTGCTCCCTTAGCTCTGCTGAAAGCTGGAGGGTGCTAGGCCCTTGTGTGGTAGTGCATAGAATTCCAGCTTTTTTTTCTCCTTTCTCTGTATATTGGGACCCTGGATAGCCAAAACAATCTTGAAAAAGAATAAAATTGGAAGGCTCCCACTTTCTACGTTCAAACTTACTACAAAGCTACAGTGATCAACATAGTGTGGTGCTAACATAAGGAGAGACATGTATATCAATGGAACCGAACTGAGTCCAAAAATAAACCCTTACACTTATGGTCAACTGATTTTCAACAAGGATGACAAAACCATTCAATGGAGAAAGAATAGTCCTTTTGACAAACAGTGCTGGGAAACCTGGATAGCCATATGCGAAACAATGAAGTTGGACACTTAGCTCACCCCATATACAAAAATTAACTCATAATTTAACAGAGACCTAAATGTGAGTGCTGAAACTATAAAAACTTTAAAAGAAAACACTGGAGTGAGACTATAAAACTGGGCGTTCTCTGGATAACTTCTCTACAATATTTACTAAAGGATAAGTAACAAAAATGTGCTAATCAGCTTACATGTTATTAGAACTCAATAGTAGCTGAAGCAATTGTTCAGAGCTCAAACTAACATCATTTTTTTATGAGTATATTTTATCATTGTCATTTAGAATTGCCTGTGAATGATGATGATAAAAAGCTGACTGAAGTTTAGTCATTTTTATTATTGTATTTAAATTCTCTATAGACAATGCATAAATATACAAGGTTTACGTCAGGTACGGACTCCACTGTGCTCTCTCTTGCTGCCTTTCAAGGCCCTGCAACACCGAGGAAGGAGTGTCGCTCCCACAATTCAGCCCCTCACATAGCACTGTTCTGTCCTTGATTTTGAATTAAGACCTTCCATTCTGAGTTTTAATTTCTGAACAGAAAGGCCTTTATTATCTAGAGAAACCATTCTGTTCTACGTTTCTCCAACTATATTTAAGTTAGTGAAGTTAATATTGTTGATCATAAAATGCTTTCTGATGCTTGTAAAAGACAATTTCAGTTATATGCCAATAACTGTAGGTAGTATACTGCATCTGAAAAGCTACCAAACATAACAACAAAACTCCACACTTAAAGTTGAAATGATAGATGCACCATGACCAGCTTGTCACACCACTACATGATATATTCTACAACTTCTTACTCAGGTATCTGTAAAGTTTAAATTCAAACATTTTACAGGAACAAAATAACATTAGTCCAATTATTTAATTAGGGAAGAAGAGATCCCAAATATTCCTGCTAACTTGTGGCCACGTGCAAATAAGACAAGAATCTGCAAGAAAGGTAAACTGTAGAAGCATCGAGTGATAATAACATATTCCAACAAAATCTTATTCACCGAAGTCGCTCTGTATTCTGGTGACCCCTGACACTGGGGAGGACTATGGATGACATCTATCAAGGTATACAAACTGGTAGAGGAGCACCTGGGTGGCTCAGCTGTTAAGTGTCTGCCTTCGGCTCAGGTCATGATCCCAGGGTCTTGGGATCAAGCCCCACATCAGGCTCCCTGCTCGGCGGGAAGCCTGCTTCTCCCTCTCCTGCTCCCCCAGCTTGTGTTCCCTCTCTCACTGTGTCTCTCTCTGTCAAATAAATAAATAAAATCTTTAAAAAAAAAAAAGAAAGAACTGATAGAACCAGCAGGTCATTCCTAAGGAAGAATAAGATGTGGGCACACAAGGGCAATATAAATATCCAACACTACTGAGTATGAAATGTGATAAAAAATTGAACTTCCACAAAATGGATTATTTTTTAAAAGTCTGAGCTATTTTATAGACTTGTCAAATTACTTGTCAATTTAAAACATAAGGGAAATGCCCCACAATATAATGATGGCTCTAATTAGGTTAATTAGAGGTAGATACATAACAAAAGACACAATGAATTTCAAAAGGCTCCAAAACAGAGGTTACAGAACATCCACAAGAAAAGCGGAGATGGGGAAGGCACATGAAAGTTACTTACCTTTGATCAGCAGCTTGTAGAACTGGGGCTCTAATGCTCCAACAGCCATGAACCCCCCATCTGCCGTTTTGTAAGTTGTGTAGAAAGGTGCTCCACCATCTAGTAAGTTCTGTCCTCGAGGCTGTTCCCACATTCCTACTTGTTGAGATTCCCACAGAAAAGAACTCAGGTATGCTGTTCCTTCCACCTTTGAAGAAGAAACAGGATACAATATGAATCCAGATATTTAAACTATAAAGGCATGATTAATTTCCACTTAAATTTTTTTTAACATTGGTATACAAATGTTTGTTTTTTTTTAAAAGATTTTATTTATTTATTTGAGAGAGAGAGAATGAGAGATAGAGAGCACAAGAGGGAAGAGGGTCAGAGGGAGAAGCAGACTCCCCGCTGAGCAGGGAGCCCAATGCGGGACTCGATCCTGGAACTCCAGGATCATGACCTGAGCCGAAGGCAGTCGCTTAACCAACTGAGCCACCCAGGCGCCCAGTATACAAATGTTTCTTAGAGTATAGGAAGATTGTATCTAATTACACAACTTCTTTGATATTTCAAGAAAGTGTGTGAGAACGGGTTTATGGTAGAGGGTTTCTCCACTATTCAGGTCAGAAGATACTTTTCAGAAAAGACTTAGAAGGAACTACTTTTGTTCTCCCTTTCAAATAAAACTGCCAAATGTTGATAATTTTTGAAGCCAAGTGAGGGCACATGGAAGTTCATTATATATTCTCTCTATAATTATATATGTTTAAAACTATCAGGATAAAAAGTTAAAAATAAAGCAAAGAGGTTTTTGAAAATCTATCTTCTGATCTCAATACGTATAAACACATACAAATAGATATATGAAGCATATCACATTATAAAGGTAAATCATATTATAGTTAAATTTAGCTTATTTTAGTTTGACTCCAAGCCCAAGAAAACTATATTTGAGTATTTAATACATTTTAATTTTAACAATCACTAGAAAGTAACAAAATAAACATAACAATATGAGTGGCAGATACACGGGTTTTCTGAGTCCAGACAAACTAGTTTGGGAATCCCAACTTCCCACTGAGTCCTGAAGTAATAGTAATGGAGTCATATCCTCAGGTATAATTGTTACAGGCTGGATGCTCTGGGCTATCCAAAGAAGACTACTTCCCTCTCCTAATGGCTTTATGATCCTAATGATCTAGGCCCCCAGGGAGAACACCATCAAAGCACCCTTGGTGGGCCTACGGAATTTCTCACAGTTACTGGCTATGAAACAAATGCGAAATATATCTTTGGATACATCCCAATTTTCCCTTTTAACTTGAAATCTCATGCACACCTAAATTTATGGCTTTGAGATCTGACATACCAAATAGTATGTATATTTTGTATAAGTGGCTTCTTCTGAAACTGGGTTACATAGATTCTAGAGAGTCCCCATATCTATACATATACATACACACACACACACGTAGAATGATACACCACATATAACGATACATACACATACATACATGTATATATGTACATACATAAAATTTCCTTTATATACTAGATATGCTGGTGAGTACCTTGAAAAAACATGCACTAATAGAGTTACGGGTCCAGTTTGGCCCGTCCAGAACACAAAGAGGCTCTGATTTAATCCTAACTTTATTTGGGTAGAATATAGGGCAGCAACAGCAGTTACAATCCTCACCTCCTCACGCTACCCAGATGTACGTCTTCTCTAACCCTTTACGCACATGTTGAGTAGCTGACACAGACAAGAGCCCTTTGACACAAAGGAACTGCAGCCTCAATTTCCCAACCTTTTACACTGTTCTCATCATGTGGGACCACAGCCTATGTGCTAGCGCCCAGCCACCTTGCCCCAGGTCCAGCGCACTTCCCCAGATCAGGGGTAAACACGGCAAAACAGGCATCATGTTCCACAGTTTTCTTCACTTGGCAGTTTCCAAGGAGACAACCCTGGGACATCACGGGCAGGCCTAAGTCAAGGATTCTGCCGCTAAAAACACTTGAAAACTATGGCCTAGAAGAATAAGGTATCTGCGCTCACTCATCAGCTTCTATAACTATTTGTATCACAAGGGTTCCCAGAGATGGGAAAGTAATGAATACCATGCTTTCCTGACCCATTCGGCCTTGAGTTATTAGCCAACACTCATTTGACCCTAATGTGAACATGAACCCCGAATCAAGTTTGCATTTCCACATATACTAACAACCGACTATCTTCCTAATCATCATGTAATTCTGATTAGACACAGTCTGATGAAAGCAATTATCTTTTATTGATATTTGACTATAAATAAGCAATTACACAGCATTAGCAAATTATTCAAATTATTATTAAATAAGTACTTAACCTTATATTCTCCTTAAAACTCCCAAGGTCTCATGTTTGTTCTTAGCTCATTCCTTTTGGACCACAAGGACCATGTCCATGGAGGGCAGTGACAGAAAGCATGAGTTTTCATGCCCATGAAGATGTCAAACTGCCTGCGTCTGACCCTCTCCAGCCACCTGCTTTGCAAGGCGGTTCCCCTCTCCAAGCTGGAAGTCTTCAAATGCCAAGAGAGTGGGCACACCTCCTTGATGGAGCTATGTGGATCAGAGGGAAGATATAGGGGAAAGCCCCTCACCCGTGCTCGGCCTACAGTAAGTGCACCTCCAGTGCGTACCCACCTACAGTGGGTACCACTGCTGTTCCTAGGTGTGCAGGGACTAGGCCAGGAGCTGGAGATAGAAAGACCAATCACACACCACTCCTACCGAAGTCACTTCAGACATGGACACAGAGGACAATGTGAATGTCCCCTGATGGGAGGATCAGATGGCACAGAAATAGCACAGAGGTTAGCCTGTGAGAAGGTAGTGCAAGCTAAGGCCCCAAGATGAGGGGCCCTGGAAATGGCTTTTGCAAAAGTCACCAATGGCAAATCCAATTTACACTGTTCAGATCTAAATTCTTGAGGTCTCCACCAACATCTGCCTCTCTGACCATTCCTTTTTTTTTAGCATTCTTTTTCCTTTGTTTCCATGGAAACACTCTACGGTTCTCCACTTTGCTCTCCTTAGCCCGGGTTTCTCCTCTTCTGCCCACTCTTCAAACCCAGTGTTCTGTCTGCTTCCCTAGAGGTCCACACAGTCTCAGGTGGCTCCCAAATGACTCTAAAACTGTTTCTAGTCTCTAACTTTGAGTATTCACTCCATCTGGACATCTGAGAGACTTCAAACTTGAAATGACCCAAACTGAATTCCTTTTATAATAATAACAATAGCAAATCCTTGCAGAGCACCACCTCTATGCCAGACACTGTTTAAACCCTGAACAATGGATAAATTCACTCAGTTCTCTAACGATGCTCTGAGGTCGGTACCATTGCTATCTCCATTTCACAAAGAAGCAGCTGAAGCGCAGGGAGGTAAGTACCTCACCTGAGATCACAGAGCTAGTCGGTGGCAGAGCTGTGGTGGAGGAAAGGGGGCTGCCAGAGTCTGTGCTCATACCCACTAACTCACGCTGCCTCTTCCATCGGCAGTCCTCCCCCATGGTGCCAGTGCTGCCATCCACTGGCTCACCCACATCAGAAACAGGGGAGTCAGGGTGCCTAGGGGGCTCAGTTGGGTAAGGGGCCCACTCTTGATTTCACCTCCATTCGTGATCTCAGGGTCCTGGCATCGAGCCCTGCATTGGGCTTCTCTCTCAGTGGGGAGTCTGCTTGAGGATTCTCTCTCTCCCTCTCCCTCTGCCCCTCCCCTCACTCAAATGCGCACATGCTCTGTCTCTCGCTCTAAATAAATCTTAAAAAAAAAAAAAAAGAAGAAACAGGGAGTCAGCCTTGACTCCTCCCTTTCCCCTCACTGCCAATGCATCACCAAATCCTGGCAATTTTACATTCTCAAAGATAAATTTCCCTTAAACCCAGACCCATTCTACCACCAATGACTTTAGTGCTCATGCTTCTCTCTCAGCAACAACCCAGTAACTGTCTCTCTGCCTCCAGTCTTGTCTTCCTCCCATCATCTCCATTCTCCCTCCAAAGAGCTGCCCAAATGCAAACCTGTAGTGGTGCTGGACTGGGTTCCTTCCAAGGGGCTGTGAGAACTTGGGCTTCCTCCTCTTTAAAATAATGTACTCCAAGTGAAACTGCTGTTTTGAGGATTAGGAGAAACTGCACACGGAAAGTGCCTAGCATAACATGAGGCCCGTGCTCAAGGCATGGCAGTGAAAAAAAAACGAAGCCTCACAATGTTGGAGTCTCCCCGAAAAACGTAGAAGGAAGGTCTAGACTGGCCCATTTTACTTTAGCACCCTTAAGAATATTCTCTATCTAGGGGCGCCTGGGTGGCTCAGTCATTAAGCGTCTGCCTT